CCATCCATTACACATAGTAGAACAGTCTTCAGGCTTTGGGAAAGTAGACACCTACACAGTTAAGGCCCTTATTACTCCCTGAAAGTTAGAATGCAAGTCATGTAAACATAGAGACTTAATGAGGATCAGACTAAAATGAGGCTGTCTTTCAGAAGGAGTCCTTGACCCCGGTTGGTTAAGGAGGATTCTCTTGAGGGCAGACGGCGGTGGCTGTCTTGGGTTTTCTGGACATTTGGCTGTCAAAACTGAAGGCATCGTCACTGCAGCATCATTAAAATCAAAGAACAGCTGGAACTTTGGGAGAATGACAGTGACAGATTAATGTGCTCCCCTTGTAAACTTATGACAAGCCACAATTATTTGCACACAAGTAGTCAAAGTAGTCAAAGGACAGCCAGATTGGGCATGGAGGCTTAAGTTCTTGCATAGCTTCATCAGGGATTTTTGCTCAAATTATTCTATAGTCTCACTGTGTGTGTTCTGTGTGTGGGTAGATGGGTGAGAGTGAACCAACAGACCTGATATTTAAATGTTGACAGCATGCCTAGCGCAGCGCTCATGTCCTCCGTCACTGTGCCCTGATTTTATCTCACTCCTCCAAACACTCTGCAGAAAATCAATGTGCATCAGGCCTACTCATGCTCAATGCCTCACAAGTAGGATACTATGTCTAATCCTGGGAAAATGCTCACTTTTTGCATAATCACTGCTTCATTCTTTTATCGTATTACAAAGTAGTGGCTAATGGCTTATTGGTGATACATGGTGTAATTAGTGAACCAACAGTAGCTTTTAGTGGATACTCTCTTTTAACCAAATTTATTTAAAAAATAAATCAACTTCACCACTGTTATTTATCCTCTTGTCCTTTCAGTTGGCTTACTTTCTTCCAGCAGGCATGGCCCCTTGCCACTGATGTCCTTGTTGGTGTGTATGTATGCGTATGAGCTAGATGTCAGCGTTTTTAACGGCAATTGTTCTGCCGATGGCCTGTCACCCTGGCTTGAGGAGGCAGAGGGGCCAGGAGAGGCTCACCTTTGCCTTGCTGACATTTCAATTTGTCACAACTGGCCAGGCTGTTTATGTCAATAGTGCGTCAATGAATCAGAAGAGACACCATGGGACATCAGGGTTCAATATAATGAACACACGCACCTCTGATTAAAGCTGCAGTGCTGCTATGTACAGAGGTTGATCGACCCTGTAGCTGTGTATGGAGAGAAGAAGATGAAAACGTGGAGTGAGATGACAAAGATTCCTTAAAGAAAAAAAAGGTCACATTCAGAATGTATGCAACTCTGTTAACTGGAGTCATGTGAGGTCTTGAGGCTAGTGGGAATTTCTTTAATTCAGAGCAATGCAGTTCTTTAGAGGAATGTTTTTACATTTCAAAAGGCTCTGCTCATATAAATTCATGTAAAAAGCTAATGAACATCAGTTGATTCACTTCACATTTCCTGCAGGTTAAAAATATTACTGTAGTTTTTTAGAGGGCATTAATCAAGAATTAATTTTCATCTATTTAGCAAAGTTTTTTTTGACCATTTCTTTCTATCTATCTATCTATCTATCTATCTATCTATCTATCTATCTATCTATCTATCTATCTATCTATCTATCTATCTATCTGTCTGTCATCTATCTATCTATCTATCTATCTGTCTGTCTGTCTGTCTGTCTGTCTGTCTGTCTGTCTGTCTGTCTGTCTGTCTGTCTGTCTGTCTGTCTGTC